GGGGGGGGGGGGGGGGGGGTGCAGATTTCTGCAAATAGAATTGCTAGTGTACTTGGGAGTCTTGTCCCACCTTCTCATGGGAGAGGGAACGGGCTAGGCTTGTATCTCATTTTAAGCCATGTGATAGCAGCTTCAAAAGATTTGCTCTTATTTTGGCATGTCCTTTAGAGCTTATCCTTCAGTGTTTGGGGGACATAAAAAATGTTCTGACTCCTGCCCAGGAATTTTAAAATGAGAGTTTGTGAGTGGCGCTCCCCCTGCTGGTGGCAATACGAAGAAACAGGTCTGCTTTGGGAAAGCGGATTGCAATTTTGAATTGGTGGAGGAAATAAGAATTTCCAGGAGAACAAACGTGGAGCTGCAGAAAAGAAGCCATTTTAAGAGAGATTTTGCCTAAAGCATCTCAGAATCATAAAAGAATCCCAAAGAGGTGTGGATTTCTGAAAACCTAGGTCAGAGAGAAGGGTCATAGATAAATGTATTACTAGCACCTAACATACCTATATTGCTGGGGAGAAAAAATAATTAAGGAACTGAGAAATGTTGCAAAACTGCAACTGTGAGTAAAATAAAGTGCTAATTAAAAAAAATCTATTTCTTCCTGTGTTTTATAATTCTAAATATACAAAGGATACAAAACAAAACAATTCTCTCAAGAATAATTTTTTTCTTGCGTGTCCCAAGGATACCCACCTACAACCATCCAACTAATTAAATTTCCTTTGTTTGAGTTTTCTTATACTAGAAACAGCTTTTCTTTCACTTATGAATGTGTATACCTTGTCATCAAGGTATAATGGCTGATGTGATTTTATTCTTTGAAGCATTCTCCCTACATTTCATTTAGAAACATGGCATCATTCTAGCGTTTGTTTCCAAACAAAATCTTATATAAATATAATTTAATTAGAATTTATCATATTCAAAGTTATTGGACTTGGTAGATTCAGTTATGAAATATTCAGTGAAAGTTTATCTTAAAAACATTTAAAATATACATACTGAAAAACACATAAGAATAAACAGAACAAGAACAATTACTGCATAAATTCTATGTACTTACCATAGATGACAATATCCATTCTTGGGTGCTCTCGTAATAGCTTTTTCACCTAATGTCTTTCCTGAAAGATAAATGTACTTACAGTTTGGTACCTTCATGTGAGTTGGTAGGGGGTAGATTATTGAATTAAGCCAGTAGTTTCCAAAAGTATGGTCCCAAAACCAGAAGTCATTACCTAGAATCTTGTTATAAAAGCAAATTTGGGGCCACATGGAAGACTTACTCGATCACAACCTCTGAGACACAGCTATCTGCATTAACTGGCCTTTACCAGTTCTGATGCAAATTCAAGTGTAGACTCACTGGACTAAGTGATTTAACCAAATGCAAAAGAAGTCATTCAATCATTATTAATAGACACTGCTTTATAATTAACTCAACCAACATTTATGGAGTACTTTCTAAATGTCATATTATGTGAGCCCCTGGGAATAAAAAGTCAAATAAAACACAATTCTTGACCTCCAAGAATTCACTGTTCAGTAGGCACCAGGTATATAAACAAAAAAATTATGTGTAAAGATAAATACAAGGTTAAAAAGAGCATAGCAGAGAATGGAGACAGCAACTCTATCTAAAGAGTAAGGGAAGGTGTCCCAGAGAAGTTCTTACCTAATCATTCATAACAGTGAACACATTCAGTGCATAAATAATTCTCCTAAATAATTTTACTTCATTTCAGAATAACTTTTAATAATCTGTTAATTTCTGAATAGAGGTTTGTTTAAACCACATTCTCAAAATATTTCTCAAAAACCTGCTGTTTTATTTTATACAATTTCCTTTTCTCTGCTCTAATTTTTTTTTTTTTTGCTTGAAGAGCAATGATGTGATCCAATGATCTGAAAAATGCTCTTCTAAATAAGCAGTTTAGATAATCTTTATAAATAAAAATCTTTTATTCTAAAATCATTCTCCTATTTGTTAATTTGTTAAGGTGGTATTCTATAGCTCTCTCCATTAAGAGAACTACCCGGTGTATAAATCTACATAAATTGGAAAAAATTAAAAAGCAGTCTTTTAAAATAACAACTGATACTACATTGTGGGCATATATTAGAAGAGTCAATAATTTGATAATGAGTGCTTGAAAAACATAAATATTTTTAATGTGTAAACATTAAAAACTAAATCAACATCTTACCTACATTACGAAGTGAACAAAAATAGCTTTGAGGGCACTGCCATAAGCCTAAAATAGAGGCAATTCCATGGCTCTGAAAATATAAAAGGGAGCCAGATAGTATACATACTGGTTTTGTACCCTCACTGATGCAGCTTCAGCCTGAAAAGGAACCTATTTCCCTTAAAAATTTTTTTTTTATTTTGTGGTCTATTTGTGTCCATCACTTAATCCTGAAAGTTACAAATATGTTCTTTTAGATATAAGGTTCATATTTGATTTGCAAGACAAGTGTGATCAGTCATAGGACTGATCACATAGATGTACTGCAAAAATGGGACACCACAGTTAGCAGGTAAGGAAAGAATTTTGTACTCTCCAGGGATCAAATCTTCCCTCAATATAATAAGTTCAAATATACTGTCATGAGGAGCAAGAGTCAGCAAACTCTTCCTCTTTCATACTGAGTGCCCATGCCCTTCAACTCCAGTCTCCAATTTCCTGGCTCCTGGGTTCTTTGCCAGGCACTTATTACCTGTGCACTGAATTACAATTGCCTGTCTCTGTATTGATCTTGTCAAATCATGTGGCATTCTGGCTGTTATTCTTTTGTTGTTACTTTAGAAAACAGGATGGCAATAATGAACAATCATGGACTCATCACTCTGCTTAAACAATTGTCAACTCAAGGCTTACCTTGTTTTACTGAGATAAATTTTGAAAAAACATTAAAGTCTGAGTAGTTATTTCTTTGTGGCACTTGGAGTTCTATGTTATAGGAAGTAAGAAGGGTTATTTTAATTTTGGTGAAAGACTACCATTATTATTGCTTCTCAAATTATTACCACTTAATGTATCATCTTTCTATGATTTTATAAATTTTGAAAGCGTGGAATTTGAGTTTTTCAGTTGCCTATCCTAATATGCTCAAATATTTTTAGAGACCATATACTGTTATCTAAAAGTTCATTCGTGGTTTACTATAACAATGATTACTACCTGAGAATAATTAATATTCACAAAATACTTACCAATATTAGCATAATGCTTCTTTTCTTGTGTATTTGTAGATAGCTCATACATGTCTCCATAAGCACGAGCAAACCGCCAAATAAACTCTATTTCATCTCTAAACTGAACACACAGAACTGCCCATTAGATAAACTTTGTAATGTGACTAAACTACTGCAATGTTATAAAAAATTAGGTAGGTAAACTGGTACTTAGAAATGAATACCATGACTGTATTCATGGGCATATCACACTTTAAATTTAAATATTCATGGCTATAAAAAATATAGATCACTATATTCATGGTGATCTAATGTAGTGTTACATTTGGGTCTTAAAAAACCAATGAATATTATGCAGACATCAGCTCCACACTATGAAGAAGAGAAAATTGATAGGTGTTAGAATTCATAAATTCTCTCTGGGTGGTAGTATCCTCTCCTTGCTCTCCTTTCTAACTTATCTACTATCAATATGATGCCTCAATGGGCATTTCAGATATCTGTAAATTATTTGAGATTATATATATTCAAAAGAACAGTCACATTTTTTTTTTACCTAAATTACCTAAAACACAACCCTAAAGATTTAAAAACTTTGAGTTCATGTGTTTAGAGTTTCTAAATCCTCAAAAGTTAGCCTTAAATTTCTCATGGGAAAGAAGATTTATAGATCTTTGTGATATTGCAAAATCCTTTTTTCCCCTTTGGTGGTGGTGGTGGTGGTGGGAAGGATGAGCTTTGTCAATTCAGTCCAACATTAAACATTGAAAAATGATTACTGGTAGAAATACAGTGAAATACTAAATGACTACTGGAAAAACTATAGCTTTGACTATATGGACTTTTGTCAGCAAAGTGATGTCTCAACTTTTTAATGTGCTGTCTAGGTTTGACATACCTTTTCTTCCAAGGATCAAGCATCTTTCAATTTCATGGCTACAGTCACCATCTGCAGTGATTTTTAGCCCAAGAAAATAAAATCTGTCACTGTTTCTACTTTTTCCCCATCTATATGCTATGAAGGGATGGGACTGGATGCCATGATCTTAGTTTTTTGAATAAACTTTTTTATTTACTTAAAAAAAATTTAGTAATATTATTAAAAAAAATTTACATCAGTCATTTAGCTTTTGAAAACTGTGACACAATTGCTGTGGTCATAACATGAATGGAAGAGTAGATTAAATAAAAATTAAAACTATACAAACAGGTTATTATCACATATATCTTACCTTTTCTTTGTGGTCACAAAGCAGCTCAAAACTCTCCACTTTTCTGGACTCATTCACTCGTAAATTATCAGCCATCTGAATAAGGGCATCTAAATTTAATTCCTCCACATGAGTGTTAAATGCCTTAGGGACTGGAAAACTCTGTTCTTCGGTGTCAGTATTAGCTGTAACATACCTAAAATTGCAGAAATAATCATCAACTCTCTGGAAAGTTATACTCTAATGGCCAGAGAGATCCTTTCAAAATGTAAGTCAAATCATTCCACTCTGAGGCTTGAAATCCTGCAATGGTACCTCCTTTCACTCAGAGAAAGCTCATGTACTAACCCCTGGAGGAGGGCATGGCAACCCACCCCAGTATTCTTGCCTGGAGAATCCCCATGGACAGAGCAGTCTGACGGGCTACAGTCTGTGGGGTCACAAGGAGTCAGACATGACTGAGCGACTAAGCACATTTCCTAATAACCATCTACAAAACTGGATGAGGTTTGCCTCCCACCTCAATCGACTCTCTGACCTCGTTTCCCAGCACATTTCTCATTCAGTCAATTGAATGCTGGCTGCCCAGCTACTCCTTAAACAAGCCAGGACATTCCTACACCAAGACCTTTGCTTTCTGTTCCCACTGATGGGATGATGATGCTCTTCCTTCAGTGCTGCGCTGCACTTAGTCGCTCAGTCGTGTCCAACTCTTTGCAACCCCATGGACTGTAGCCCACCAGGCTCCTCTGTCCAAGGGGATTCTCCAGGCAAGAATATTGGAGTGGGTTAGCATGCCCTTCTCCAGGGAACCTTCCTAACTCAGGTCTCCTGCATTGCAGGCGGATTCTTCACCATCTGAGCCATAACTCACACCCTCACCTCCTTCAAGTCTCTGTTGAACGTCGTCATCTCAATATAGCCCATCCAGACCACTTTATTTAATGTTGCAGCCACCACTTCCCAACCCACATGCATTTCCTTCACCAATCTCCCTTATCATGCTTGACTTTTTTCTTTTTCTGTAGTACATACTGTCTTCTGATACACTGTATATTCTACTAACCTACTACATGTGTTATTTTTGTCAGGATCTCTCCCACTAGAATGCATGCTCCCTCACAACATGATCCTTAAAACAATTCTTTGTTTTATTAACTGACGTCATCAAGTGCCTAGAACAGCACCTGACACATAATGGGTACTCACTGGATATTGCTGAATGAATGATACAGAGTTGGAGGCAGTTGGTATATATATATATATATATTAAACTCGGAGGCAGTCAGGTATATATATATATTAAATATATATATCATGTATTTATATATACATGTGTATATACACACATATATTCACATACACACACACACATATATATGTGTATATATATATATATAAATTTGTGGTTCAAGATGATGTTTTAACCCTCAGCTTAGTTGTTAAAAATTCATACTACCTCCCACATTTCCTTTTTGGTGGCATATAATGCAACAATTTATTTTCATTTATTCACACATTGCCTTGTTCTAAAAAAGATCTTAAGGAACTATATAAGGATATATAACACACAAGAGAATGAGTTAGAAGTGGTGAGAAAAGATAAAAACAAAGTCAAATGTGAATAAGGCCAATAAAAAAGTACATATACTTTAGATACCTATACCCTTGCTAAAACACACATAAATGTGATTTTACATCTTCTAATAGCTGAAGCAGTCACAGTCTCCAGCAGATACTAACAAAGAGAAAGGAAGCAAGTTCTTGAGAGAAGTACACCTATTTTCAATGCTGACTCAAATAAATTTCCTTCAAAGTCCTTATAAAGAAGACACTGTATAAATGATACTCAACTTACAACATTATTAATGGCAACTTCATTCTTCTAATTGCTCAAACCAAAAATTTAGAACCATCCTTGACTTCTTTGTCTCTGCTAATCAACATTCAGAAACGTCCGTTGTTTCTGTCTTCAAAATACATCCAGGATCCAGCTACCTCTCCCCACCTTTACCCACTACTCCCCTGGTCTAGACCACCACCAGGTTGCCTGTATTAATGCAATGGCCTCCTATCATGTCTCTCTGTTTTAGTCCTTGACCATTATAGTTTATTCTCAACATTGGAGCCAGAACGGTCCTCTAAAAAGCTGAATCAGATCACGTAACCCTTTGCTCGAAACCCTCCAATGGATGACAAAATCATAGTAAAAATGTTAAGTCCTTAGAGTTATCTATAGGATCCTTTATGATTGAGTCCAATACCTCTGACCTCATCTCCTATCACTCTCCTGCTCGATCAGCACTCCAGGAGCACTGGCTTCCTCCCTGCTTTATTATCTCTGTGTTTGCTGGTCTTTCTGCCTGGTATGTTCTCCACTGAGTATCTATGCCAATTTACCTCCTCACCTGTTTCACACCCTTATTCAAACGTAATCTTCATATTATGGCAGATGCGATGGTTACCTACACGGTACACATTAAGAAACCTACAAATTGTGGGAGTAACAGAGTTTAGTGAGTTGGCTGCATATAATACTAAAATATGAGTCAGTTTCATTTCTAATATATTAGCAGCAAAAAGTCTAAAAAACAAAATTAAATAAAATATTTCACTTATGATGATCTCAGAGAATGTCAGATACCCAGGAATAAACTTAATAAAACATGTAACAATTCTATGGAGAAGATGATAAAAGATATATTAAAAACTGTTTATAAAAGAACCTAAATTCATGAAAAAATATATCATGTTCATGGCTACAAACAACTGATATTGTAAATGAATGAATTCTCTCTAGATTACAGATTCAGTGTAACTAGAATTTTATAAACCTAAGAAGAAATTTCATACAATTTAATGAAATGATTCTAAAAGTTACAAGAAAAGGTAAACAGCCTAGATTAGTCAAAGCACCATTAAGAAAGAGAGCAGGGAGAGAAGACTTACCTCACCAGATATTAGACCTATCTTGCAGCTACAATAATTAAAGACAGTGCAACTGGTAAAAGGATGGATGAGTAACTGAAAACAGAAGAGTCAAGAAACAAATTCATATGCAAATGAAAAGTGTGCTACAAGACAGATATGGCATGTCAGATTAGTCTTGCTTTAGCAGGTGGTTTCACAGATGTTTATTATACTGTTTATAATAGCAAACTAAATAAATGAGTTAAAGTGGCATATGCATGGACCATTAATCAGAGTCTGCATAAGCTAAACACAGTTTTTAGTACAATTCTATGCACCTGAGATACAGTAAGAAAATAATAACCAAAAGAAAGTAACTAGTTTAATATCAGACACTATTATTTAAACTAAAACCCACCAAACAGTACACTATAGAAGGGTGAATTTTATGTTATATGAATAGTATCTCAATAGAGATGTTATTTTTATAAGAAAAAATTGAATATTCTATAGCCATTAAATCAGAACTTGTATGTCTATGCTAATAGCAAGAGAGAGGGAAAACACAGAATAGCTATATAGAGAGCTCCATCAATAAATGCAAAGAATTAGATTTACTCAAATTCTAAGGAATTAAAAAAGAGGAAACATTATTTAAGTCATTTTATGAAGCTAGCAAAACTAGTGCCAAAACCAAATAAGTATAGTAAAATAAGAAATAAAAATTATAGGCCAATTTCACATATAAATTTTGACACAAAAATCCTCCAGAATATCAGCCAAAAAATTTCAACACACATGAGAGAATGCATCATAACCAAATTGAGTTTATCTCATGAATTACAAGGACAGATAAAAGAAAATTTCTCTAGTATAACAGATAAAATGAGGAAAACTATATGATCTTTACAGTGGTCACCAAATTTTTTTTTTCAATAAATTCAATTCCATTTCAAGACAAAAGAAATACCAAACACATAAACAAGGAACAGAACTTCTTATAATAGAATATAAACCCCAAACCATGATACAGTTCACATATAATGATGAAATATTATAAGCATTCTCTTTAAAATCAGAAATAGAGAAGGATATCCAATATTGTTGCTTCTATTTAACAGAGTACTGCAGGTTCTGTTAGCACAATATTAAAAGAAAAACAAAAAATATATAAGAATTGGGAAATAAGATTTCTTTGGGAAAGAATTGGGAAATAATAATTCGGTATTATTTGAAGATTATTCAATAAAAAGAAAACCTAGCTCCCTTCACCCAGCAAGAACACCACAAGAAGCTGTCTGTGAATCAGAAAGTAGGTTTTCACCAGATACTGAATCTGCTGTAACCCTGATCATGAGCTTCCCAGCCTCCAGAACTGTGAAAAAGAAATTTCTGTTGTTTATAAGCCACCCATTCTATGGTACTTGTAGCAGCTCAAACAGACAGACGGTATTCAGTACTTAAATTGAAGGAAAATCTAACAGAATTTACAGATGAGTAAATAAAACTAACATATACGATCAATTATCCCCATGGACAGAGGAGCCTGGCAGCCTACAGTCCATGGGATAGTAAAGAATCAGACAGGACTGAGTGACTAAGCACACAGGTTCCTGTATCTATAGAACAAGTTAAAAAATGTAATTTTATAAAATATAGCTTTTATATACTATAGGACTATAACAGGAAAAATACACAGTATCCAGGAAAAAGTTCCACAAGAAGTTTGTAAGATTTTTCTATAGAAAATTATAAAATATCATCAGAAAACATTAAAACATGTTTAAATAGATGGGAAAAGATGTCATATCCACTGACAGAAAAACTTAACTTTAAACCAATTTCATATGGTACCAAATTAACCTATAGTTTTAACATAATTCCAATCAAAACCACAATGGTATTTTCCTATGGAACTTACTTGACTCTAAACTTAATATGGAAGCACAAGTGTAAAAAGAACCAAACCATTACTCAAGGAAATAGACCGATTCAATGCAATCCCAATCAAATTACCAATGACATTTTTTACAAAACTAGACCAAAAAATTATAAAATTTGCATGTAAACACAAAAAACTTCCAATAGCTCAACCAATCTTGAGAAAGAACAATGAAGCTAGAGGGATCAGGCGTCCTGACTTCAGAGTACACTACAAAGTTACAGTAATCAAAACAGTGTGTTACTGGCACAAAAATAGACATATAAACCAATGGAACAGAACAGAAAGCCCAGAAATAAGCCACGCACTTATGGCCAATTAATTTACAATGGAGGCAAGAATAT